TTCACTCATTCTTTGTGTCAGGAATGCTCACCAGTTTTTTCACATGGATGGTTATACAGGGTAAGAACTCTTCTGTTTCCTTGCATGTTTTTTTGTTTTTCTTCTGTTTTCTTTGACCATAAACTGACAGGCTTTTCTCAACATTCTCCCCCATCAGTTCTTCTCTGTGCCCTTTTACTTGTTGCTTGACACTTCAGATGTGCAAAGAATTCTTTTCACGGAGGTGCTGCTTCAGTCTGATGTTTGGAGAAGTGAACAGGTGGGTCTAGCTATGTCATTTTCTCAAGCATTATATATGATATTGATTAGCCTAAAAGTTATCTGTGAATTGAAGATGAAGCTGAATGCAAAAGTTTCAGCAGGCCCGTATTAGGATACCTCAGATTTAAGAAAAAGATCATAGTATGTTCACTGTTGTGATAGAGTTAGAATTGTATACTTGGAGTGCTACAGGTATTCTGAATAGTCCTAAAGATAGTAGAGTATGTGATTAGCATATGACAATCTGCTGCTCAGCTATCTCTATGCTGGGAACAGCAGGAACAACCTGAATAGAGCAAAACCTGCATCATGTCTTCAAAACATACTTAAAATGCTAAAATGAAGTGACTAATCCAAGCAAAAAGGTATGAGAGAAACAGAGTACTATCTATTTTCCCAATTTAACACATCGCTTGTTTAAATTATTAAGCTATCCAATCACTTCAGTTCAGTTTTACTTTAAGGTTAAGCTTCGCTTCCTTCAAATATGATTTCTTATTCATGCCCCCCCAAATACACCATAGAAATGCACATTAACCAAAAGAAGTGAAATTTTACTTCATATGCAATTGGTAATTCCAATGACTCATTGAAATTACTGTGTGAAGTACAGAAAACAATTTATATTTCTGCTAAAATTTGCTCTCCAGAGACAAATCTGAGCTATGTGTATAATGAAAAAATGTAACACTTCATTCTCCACCTATATAGATAGCAGGAAGATATACCTCAGTGCTCTGCCACTTGTTCACGCATACT